CTCTGTTCCCACTGAGGAAGATCCTTGTGAAGGCTCACTTCTTATGACTTTGCCATGTTCAGAGTCCTGTATACTGAAAAACCTCAGGAGAGCTTGATTCATTTCTGGTTTTATCAGTGCTCGGATGTCTGAGCCAGTTAATTAGGGTGTCTTCTGGGAGCACCCTTTTTCCAATTAAGTGTCTATGACTCTATTATCTTTTGTGATCCTGCTGTAAATGGTAAAAGGGAGACATTATCTTGTTTAAGCAAGTCCAGGGTCTTTCCTGTAATTCATAGTTCGGGCTTGTCCCTGATTGTTTCTCACAACTAAAGTCAAAGATTGTCCCTCTGTCGACTCATCAGAGCACTCCTTCTAAATTGGTTAGTGTTTCTCTTTACTATTTTTAAGTATGTGTTCCTCAGGGCCCTTATTCTTGGAATACTGGAAGTTTATTGATAGGAATGCTACTTAAAGCTCTCCTTTCCTTTTCAAAGAAAAGATATTTTTTTCCTGTATATATACATGCCCATGTTCGTGCACGCTTACCACAATAGGCTTGCTTCTACTAAAAACAGTGTCCACTAGTGTGAGTTTCAGCTTAGTACATTTTATTTAAGAATGTATTACAACTGTAAGGAAGGCAGAACAATTCCCCTTTGATACTACATCTTACTTTTGAAAACTGATGACAGCACTAGATTATATGGCAAAGGATATGTTGTAAAGAGTGAAACTTACTAGATCTGATTTGCAGAACTTTAAGATGTTGCTTTGTGTTGCTTTGTGCTGTCGAGTTTGTAATAATGTGTTAGAGCAGCAATAGGAAGCTAATACAAACCAATTCCATTATCAGAGACATGTGGTACAATGACAGAACATAAACAATTACAGACAGATCAGCTGCCGTAGGAATCTACTATGAGCTCTGGAAAACATAGAAGGTCTATAAAGAGAGAGACTTCTATTCTATAGCTCTAGCTTTTGCAATTGGAGCTCGAGCAGATAGATATTCCCTCTGCTTGGATTATTTAAAAAATATAACTTAGTCCCTTTTGCCAAAGACTCAGAAATGGCTTTCACATTCACTGGGTGCTAGTTCATAAAGGGTGTGCACCAGTGTTTCTGCTTTGGGAAAACAGCACTCATGACAGATAACAATAGGTGGTATTCACAAATAGTAACACAGACACCTGGCATATTTATTCCTGGACTTCATGGGTAATTTACATATCTTTTGTGGAAATGTTCTTATCTTCTAACTAAAAGTATTTTTATTTTTCTGCAATACATAGTCCCTCCTTAATTCTATGCTAATTATGCTATAGATCACTTAACTCTTCAGTGTAGAAAAGTCTCTCTAGAAATAGTCCAAAGGCCTGGCAATGCTTCGGTAAGCTTCAGAGGCCTCATGTGTAGGAAGTAGATGTGTATCAAGGCCCCCGTCTGGCCATCTGAGTGAGCATGCTCTAAACATCTACTTTGTGCTTTACTCAGCACTGCTGGAGAATGTGTGTAGCTCGAAGCACACAGGTCTCACCGCTTCTACCAGTCAAATAAGAGGAATAATCCATGTGATTCCTGTGTGTGCACGCATGCCCAACACAAATAAAAGAGAGGCACATAGGGACAATGTTGGAATATTTTGACAGAAGGATCTTGAGAAAATATACTTGATCTGTCCAGTCCTCATGTTTTGGCCATTCCAATAGCTGTTGGCTTTTGTGAGTGCCATCTTCCTATGAGCCCATTCTCTGGGGAAGAAAGTCACAACTCTTTTTCTGACTCAATGTGGCTTTTCTCTTCAATAGAACCCTCCAGCTTCTTGCAGGTTAATACCAAAGAAGGTTTATCAGCTGGGTTTATTATATTTCTAATAAACAGCCATTTATGCCCCTTGCAGATGTTTCTTGCCCCCCTAGATTTCTCAGATAAAATATGAAACTTAGTGGCATGTCGCTACTATGTACAATAATGGGGTTGAGAGTATCAAGTAGAAGACTTACTGATCTCTTTGAGGGCCAGGAGATCCTGCAGCTACACAAGGAGCTCAGAAAACCAAGGAAGAAAGCAACTTTCGTTGCCTTTAGAGAAAACCTTTCTAGAATGGGTCTCATCCCATCGATGGGTACATATATGAACTTCAGGGACAATGCAGGTTCCAGTCCAGGAACATGGATGCAGTTTTTAAATATTTGCCTAATTAGTAGTCAAGACATCAAATAACAAATGTTTTGATGAACTCTACTGGGGATGTAAAAGGGGAAAAACTGAATTTTGAGACCAGAAAATACAAATACTAGACTTCTGAATTTTCTAAACTGTTGTGACTTTGATCGGGTCTGGATTTTTTAACTGTTGTGTCTTTGATGGGGTCACGTAACTTCTCTGTATTTTAGTTATTTTCAAGTGTCATCAGGTATTATGTAGGTTTAAAAGACATAATGACATTGGATTTAACCTAATTAACTTTCGTGTCATTTTTTTAACTCGTGTCATCTTACAGCTAACTGTAGTGGAAATTTCAAAGAGAGTTCCTTAAACGTTTCTTTCCCTATCATCTACTAAGGCCAGCATTACCTTTGCTGACTTGCTAGCACAACTGAAAAATAAAATATGAGGATAGATAGTGGGTGGGCAAATAGATGAAAAGGTTTCTCTCATAAACATATTTTCCAAACTGCAAGGCACCATTGTGGTGGCCAAAACGTCCTCCTGGTACACAGAGGAGAAGCAAGTCCCTGGGGTATAGGGCAGGCGCAGGGTGGGGAAGGGTTGGGGGGGAGACACTTCATCTGAGGAGACCCTTTGGAGTCTCTAAAGAATCTGCTCTTCCATCAGAATTCTTTTAGTCCACAGCTGAGCAGCATCACCCAGGACTGGGTTTTATCACTTAGTCTCAGTTACTTCTTCAATTAGCTGTGAAAAAGAACCAGCAACATTCTCAATTTAAACAGAGAAAACGGAGACTCAGAAATGGAGCAGCTTCCAAAGGTCATGCAGCCAACGAGGCACAAAGCCAGACTTAACTCAGGTCTTTCTGTCCCAAGCATAAGTGGGACAGACTGCTTCTAGTAATGGTAAAGCTCTCCACCACTACTGTTGAATCCACCCCTCTTCCCAAGGGGAGTTGAAGTCCTCTCTTGTCCTCCCACTGAGTCTGGCAAAGGCATCTCCTCCACAAGCTGCTGCTACACTCTTGGTTACGTTCCACTCTTTGCCTTCATTCCTCCCTGTTAAATTGCAATCCCCCAAAGGGGAATATTAGACAACTGCTCATTAGTTTATTATTTAAGTATCATTTATACTTTATTACCTCAGCTTCACAAATGTGTGTCAATAACTAAACGGCCCATTTATTGCCTGCTAGACACGATGCCCATAGCATGGCAAGTAACTTCTCTATGGGTCTGTTTCCTTGCCTAAGAAATAAAGATGATCAGAATATCATACAGGGCTGTGAGGACGAGTTGGTTGTTGGTCAGTAATATTAATAAACACATCATAAATGCTCCTCAAATATGAACTGCTACTCTGGGGACATTTAATTCCCACAATTCCAGTTCCTTATCCAAGGAGAGCTTTCAACGCTGTATTTCACTATGGGAGTCACTGAATGGGAAGGGTTTTCAGAAAGGGTAAGTGCCTTGCAGAAGTCACATAACAGAGAAGAAATAGAACCCTAAGTAGCTCCCCTGTGGGAGGTCTGACACATGGCTTGAAAGCCCTCATGCTTCGCAGTGAGTGACAAGTGTATAGTCCATCCCTTAATTCTCTTCCTGGCATTGTTGAGCAGTGAGTCAACAGAGTCTGAGAAGACCAGTGTAGTGAATAACGAGTCAATGTGATTCAGGCACAGTCCAGAGTCCCTGAAATTTCCCACAGGCTCCCTTGTTGCCTGGAATCTTCTGGAATAGGATATCTGATGCCATCCTTGAAACTAGTGCAACCTAGGCTTCATGGTTCAATGGGAATCATTTGAGTGTCTTATTTGATTAACAAAACAGACCCTGATGCCTGCTGAACCTGACTCTTCACAAGGGAGTATGCTGAGCCAAAAAAGTCTCAGGTTTGTCATCAAAAGTTGTTGTTGTTTGTTTGTCAGTGAAACTGAAAGAGGCTGGGTTTGTAAGAGACTGGACAACGATTGGTCCAACACACACAGGAGGGTATTTCTGAACATCACTTTAAAAAGCGTTGGCTCCACCCACCTCACCTGCCTTGCATCCATGTTTGTAAAAACAAGGACTCAGTCCCTCAAGAATGAATGCCCTGGGCTCCTCTGCGGGCGCTAGAGTGGCACATTGGAGTTGGGGAGTTGTCAGGAGCCCTGGGAAGCACTTGTCTGACACAGTCACTGAATCATTTTCTTCTTGCTTTCTCCCTCCTCCAATTCTATCCCCCCACCTCCAAAATAAACTGTCCCAGGGATGTCACCAGGGGCTTTCTAAAAGGGAGTCTAAGCACCTGCAATTAGAACGGATTCTTTCTTTTTTTTTTTTTTACCGCCTTAGCATTCAGAGAGCTAGCAGGCTGAGCTCAATCTCCCAGAGGAGGCTCTGGGAGGAGAGAGCAGCTGCTAGAAAAAAAAATAAACTAAAATAAAAGGACAGCGAGCGAGCTGCTGGCTGGCGCAGGGCAGCCCTGCCCAGCCAGCCGGGCTCCGATCATCAGTCTGTGGAAGGCTTGGGCAAGTTTCCCGGGAGGGTGCCTTGCTCCACCGCGGACACCGCCTCGAGGCTCAGTTCTCAGGTCTCGCCCAGATGTTGCCCTGGTTGCTCTGAAGACGTCCAAGTACCTGCTGGCTGCAGCTGCCGCACCGGGTCCTTGGAAGCTGGTGGGCTGTGCCTGTGTGTATGGGGCCAGGCAACACAAATGAGAGGAGCAGCATGAGAGGCTGGACTTCAGCCCAGGTCTGTCCTCACCCCGGGGGGCCGCCTGCTTTGCTTGATGCAGCTGTGAGGAGCTGCTCAAGTTCCCCCCAACACACACACACACACACACACACACACTCACACACACTTGGAAGTCTTTGTTCCAAGCACTACGTGTGTGGTTGCTTGGATCCTTTAATTAACTCCCTCCACTCCTAAGGGGTCCGAGGCTGTGGGATGCGATGCTGACTCTGGAGTGGGAATCCGAAGGACTGCAAACGGTGGGGATTGTGGTGATTATATGTGCGTCTCTGAAGCTGCTTCACTTGCTGGGACTGATTGATTTTTCTGAAGGTAAAGTGGTGGCTTCCAGTCTGTGCCTTTGCTTAGGTCTGGTTCCCAAGCGGCTGATCCAGATGCTTCTAAAGTTGTGAAGGCTTCAACTCCCCAGTCAAAGTTGTTAACATATGCATGCTTGATTGACAGAGCAGCCTAGCAACCCGAGGGTTTATTTAACTGTGACCCTCAGCTCCCCCTGCCCACTCCCAGATCTCTAGCCCTGGGCGGGGGAATGGGTTTTGTAGCGTTTTGTTTCTATTTGAAACCTCTCTAGGCTTATGGTATTTTGTGGGTTAAAAGTATTTCCAAGGTGGGAAGTTAGATCTCTGCCGTGGGGTGATGATACAGGTTGGCTTTTTGATGGTGAAGATGGTGTTTGCTACCATGCCTCATGCCCTTAGTGATTTCATTCTCCTAAGACTTTTGATTTGCAAGGAAGATTTCTCAGTGTGTTTCATTAGTCACAAGGTGCTGAGGGGCAGGGGGAATACAGTTAGGTGTTTCTGATTGTGATAGAACGTGGTTAACTTTTGGTGTAACATTGATTTAACTGGGGCTTAACGAAAATGTGTTTCGAACACTTCTTTTTCAAAAGTGTCCCATTGGTATTTCACAATGAGGCACTTTGATCATTTGTCTCCTGGGCACAAGCCCTCACACACAGGACAGGACTGTGGCTACCAATAAATAGTTTATCCAGCTAATAGAGAATTTACCTTTGCTATCCCAAGTCATTTTTTTTTAAATTCAAAGACTGGAGAGTTTAGAGAAAAAAGTTAATTAGCTTTGCTTAAGAATGGAGATATACATCAATATGTGTGTGTGTGAACACACATAAATAGAGAGAGCATGTATATGCTTATATATATAATAAAAAATATCCTCAGTGCTGCTACTGAAATATCAAGATTTGACCAATTTTAACTCAAATTATTGGCTGTCAAGTCTATACATGATTTTGATTTTCTTCCTAAATGGCAAAATGGAGTCCTAGATACTTGCTAATAATTTTTCCAGATATGGATATAATATTTTATGGCAGATGTATAAATATTCTCATGCTCTGGATCATATAAGGAAAGAGGATGATTTAAATCTCTGTACAGTTATTGTAACCTTTCTCACTTAGAAGCTAAATCTGATGGTAAAGGTGTCATTATAATCTCATACACAGTTTGTTTCTGTTAATATGTTAATAATGGCCATTGTATCTCATGTTTAAAAAGTCCACTATTCTACAGAATTGGTTTGTTATGTTCCAATTGCTCAGATTAACATGAGAACATACGTTGTCATGTAATTTTCATGTCTTTTATAAGTTTGTTTAGTCTATGACAACTTCTGCTTAAGCACAGCGAAATACTAAAATAACATTGAATAAAAAACAAAGAAGTTAGGATTCTTTTCTCCCCTTATATAACCCAGGATTGTTATTTAATTTCTAGAAGGAAAACAATGCACAAACTTTTCAAAATGTTGGTCTTTACTATTTTTGATATTCTTTATTCAAAACATTAATGTTACTGGCTTAATGCAATATAAGCAAGATAATCTCAATTTATTTGATGAGAAGAATTTACTTTTCTGTCATTTGGTCATTTGGATTTCTTCCCTGAATTTCCTTGAGCCATAGCGACCAGAGTTAGTGCTCAAGACTCAGGATAGCTTAGCTGAAGACTTGGATCTCAAGGATATCCACCATGGCAGAGACATTCACATCAGTGTAAGATAGCACATAATTGCTTTATTCCTCATAATTGATAATGCAGAAAATTGAAAGTTAACAGTCCCAAGTGGGAGAATGCTGGCAATGATTCAGTTTCAAGTTTTATGTCACTTAAAATGGCAAGTTTTCAGATTGAAGCTTCAAATTTTGAGTTCTAACAATATGTGAAGCAGAGTTATAAAGTTAACTTCTCTCAACTAGAATCAAGGACTTTCTCATGATTAATATCCAAGTCATCCATATTCGAATCACAGTTCACTTTTCTATGTGCTCATATAGACACATGTACATGTTTACAGACCTTACGTGAAAAGCTGGAAATACTGTGGATTCAATGTATAGTAGAAGCATTGATTATCCTAAAATGCAGATTGCCAGCATACATAAGGCAAGGTACACATTTATTCGTGTTCTTTAGTTGTTCTGGAATACATGTTAGGAAGTTCTGGTCTTGTCCAACCCTCTTATCTGACATAGACCATAAATTAATGCACACCATAAAGAGTAACTAATCTCCCAGAATACAAAACTAACCAGCAACAAAGGTAGGACCCTGACCAAAGACTACTGAATACATGGAGTGCTTCTCTTACCTCAAGATACTTAAAGTTTAAACTCAGGACCTCTTCTTTGCAAGGCAAGTGTTCTACCACTTGAGTCATGCCTATAACCATTTTTTGCTTTAAGTTATTTTTTAGAAAGGGATGGATATATATATATATATATTATATGAGATTACAATTGTGAACTACTGCACTTAGCCTTCTAAATAACAATAAAAAATAATAATAATCTCTTTTACCTTCTTCCTTCTTTTTTTGGGGGGGGTCCAGTTGCGGGGCCTGAACCCTGCCTGGGCCTGGGCACTGTCCCTCAGCTCTTTTTTGGGGGGGGGGTCCAGTCTTGGGGCCTGAACTCTGGTCCTGGGCTCTGTCCCTCAGCTCTTCAGCTCAAGGCTAGTGCTCTACCACTTGAGCCACAGCACCACTTCCAGCTTTTTTCTTTTTGCTTATGTGG